TATATGCAAACAAAGACTCCTCCCTCCCTCCCTCCCTCCTCTCTCTCTCTCTCTCTCACACACACACGCACACACACACACACACACACACACACACTGACAGGAAAAATATCTAAGATTAATTTCAGATGGATTTGAAAATTTAGAATGACAAATTGGGGAAGCTGGGCTCTGCGTAGGATTTATGGGTGTGTTCATACACTTGGGGAGAGGGGTCATCTTAAATTCAGGAGTATCTTCCTTTGGACAAAATGGGTAAATTCTTGATTCTTCATTTGCTGTTTACCAAGTCTAGTAACCATAACTAGTTTCACAGTGAGCTGTCCATGGTCCTGAGTATCTATGACCTAATCTTGTGGAGTTCCAGCCCAGTCTGTCCCTATCCATTGCAGATGGAACGGGATGTAGCAAACCTATGCATCCTTGCCAACTCACTGATGCCGTCAAGATGTATTCCCAAATAAATATGTGAAAGACTGTAATACTGACTCATTCAACACTGCAATGCAGTAATTGGCCAGGGTAGTGAAAAAATGTGACTCCTGTGGACTTATTTTAATCACAGATCCCCTAACTTTGTTACAGTAACTTTCACAAACCATGTCAGTATGATACCTATTTATCTATCTATCTATCTATCTATCTATCTATCTATCTATCTATCTATCTATCTATCTATCTATCTATCTATTTGGTTTGTATAGCTGCCTGTCTTATGTAGTATAAACCTGGGCAACTGAGAAACAATAATAAAAATTAAAAATTAAAAACAACAACACACATACAAAAAAACCAGCAAAAAAAACTTCCCAGTGCCCCAAACACAACACATCCCAACACATCCAGAACAAACTTTAGAGCTTTATTATGTGAATGAATTGCTTTGCATACTACCTTTGAAAGTATATAAACACATATTTAAAAATTGTAATCCCAATTATATTCACTGAATCATAGCAAGTTAATTCTCATGATCCAAATAATCAAAATATTGTGATTTATTTATGCAAACAGGTTGTTATTAACTGGCCTGCTTGCTAGAAATAGTCACTTTGGAAGGCAAAGCTTTATATGAAAGTGAGCAAGGGTAACC